TGGAATCATAACCCTGATTGGAATATGTAGGAAATGTGAATTGAAAATGAGAATGACATAAAGCATGGAACGTGACAGGGGGTTATGATCATTAATGATAAATGTAGAAGTAGGGGGGACCTCATGCATTATGTATGTTCATGCATCTGAGGGGATACCCCTATCCCATCTCGAGGGTACGGACGCGTACATCTAATGACAGGACAACGATCATTATGCTTTGCATAGCGCTGCCATAACGGTTCTAGTTTTAACAGGTCCCGGCATAAGGGGCTCCCAGAGTATACCCACCGGATAAGAAAAGTGGCCCAGCGGTGTGCGAACTAGCTGGTGAACCCATACTTGCATGTATGAGCTGTGTGTAGAGTATATGGTACACATTCACGATTACCCGTTAGGACTGCACCGTAGGGGAAACAAATTGAAACGAAACGAAACGATAGGTCCCATCATTTCATTGCATGTGATTGTTGCATAACCCCGATAGGGGGTCACTTACTGAGTATTCTAGAAATACTCAAGCCTCGTGCTACTTTACTTTTGCAGATAAGGGCAAGGCACCCATGTGACAACGACGGCGGCATCGTACACCTCAAGACCGTGGCACATGCATAGGGTAGTTGTTTTTCCATTTCATAGTTTAGGTTGAGTTCGGTTTGCATCACTGGAATAGGTTAGTATAGGTTGAGTTGTATTTGCATAATAAACCATAGTGTAGAATTAAAACATTCATTTTGGTTTTGGTTTCCTTTCCTTTATTTCAATAATGTTCGTTTCTTTTTCTCTTGTAATCATTTTCTTTTTCACGAGGTAATAAAAGGCGAGTGTAAGTCGCATTTATGAGCAGAGCCCATTTAATGTATATTCCGCATTCCAAGGTATAATAATAACCTTAGATTAAATAGGTAAAATTTAGAGTCATTACAACATCTATGCCCAAACCACTCTCATCACATCCAATTTCAAAAGTTTTATCTACGCAAAACAAGTAATGATGTCTTACTTAATTTCTTACCAATCAAATTGGATGCATTCTCTTGCATTTCCTCCCATTTAAAACGTCATTCCCTCCCATTTAAAACAACAGTCATTTTCAAAAAATAATGGTGCAGCTATGGTTCTAAAATATTTTATAAATATCTTATAGAATCTAGCTAACCCTTCAAAACTTAAACTTCACTATCTGGGGTTGGCAAATCCCTAATGACTTTAACTACTTCTATGAAGCCAAGAAAGTAAACTTTTTCCATGCAAAAATTACACTTAGAATGAAATTTCTCTTTTTAATCAAAACTGATTTAATATGCTCCACGTGTTCAAGCGAAGTCTTCAAATAAATTAAAATATCATTAATATATACGACAACATGTTTTCCCATATATTTTCTGAAAACATTATATCTTAAGCGCATATACTAGGAGCATTAGTTAACCCAAAAGGCATAATAAACCATTCATATAATTCGAATTTAGTTTTGAGAGTTTTTTTCCATTCATCTCCTACATGCATTCTAATTTGATGATATCCAGATTTCAAAAAAACTCTCGATAAATAGACATAAACCATGTAATTCATCAAGCATATCCTATAGCCTAGGAATAGGAGGTTGATATTTTACAGTGATTTTGTTGATGACTCTACAATCCATGCACATTGTAACGACCCTAAATTTCCACATATCTAGAGTCGCCACTAATGTCTCATGCTCATCTCTAATGCAGATTATAACTCTAAGAATGCTCATCTTTATTAGCGAAAAAAATTTAAAACTTCAGAATACATTAAAACATTAGAAAACACTGTCGGACTTACATGTTTCAAACATCATGCTGGAGTTCAAAATAAGATAAAACAATTACAAATTAAATAATTTAAATAAATGAAATGCAAACACCCTATCCTAACCAAAACTAGGAATTTTAAATATGTAACTATCCTATGCACGTGCCATAGTCTCTGATCACGATGCCACCGTCAACCGTACATGGGCACCTTGCCTTTACCTGAAAAACAATATGGCATACGACCTGAGTATTTTGAAGAAATACTCAGTAAGTGACCCCATTATAGGGGCCATGCTAATGCAAACACACGCCATCATGAATTAGGGACCTATCTCTAATCATCTTAAGGGTGGCCTCCAGTCTCGGACAAATTGGATGTGTAGTACTTCCCTACACATGACTCACACATGCGAGTGTGAATCCCCAGGGCGCTAGCACACCCCATGGACCCTCTGGTCAAGCTAATCTGTAGCGACGTCCGGAGGTCAGCAGAACCCCATAGTGTCATGCACCTCATGAACACCCTCATCTATGTGCATTCGCACCTGTGCGCATTCACGCTCATCATAAGGTGTGCGTCCGCACTCATCATCTCTAGGGGAAGTAACCCTATGCTTATGAACATACAATATGCATGAGATCCCTCTAAGTCCAATTATACATCTCTTCTGACACAACCCTCTAGTCTCATCTCTTGGTTACACTATGTAACACGTGCTCGTGGATATTTACATTAATATCCTTTTCGTACTCTTAGGGTTGTATTCTATGTTGATCTAACGACATGATGCAATATGACAAACAACATCATAAGACATGTTCAACATGGAAAACATCATTATGTTAATAACATCGCCATGCACACATCATACTCATCATAGAAGCCATTAAGTGCATCAAATATAACATGTATGTCATGCATTGAAACATAAATAATGTACATTTAACATACATCACAACACGATGTCATACTCATACATCATCATAATTCAAACAACCTTTATCCTATCCTATAGTAAGACCATTTACCTGGTTGGCCGTAGCCGAAGTATTCCCTAATTTAATTAATGTAAGTTCCCGTTCCTCGAGAGCTGCTCCAAAGGTTGCTGGAGTTCGCTTCATATCACACCGTTCGACACCTTTCGTTAGTATTTCACATTTTAATTAATAATTCAACTAACAATGTGAAATACGGCTCTAAAACGGTCTCAGTAAAAATCGAATTCCACGTCTACATTGTTTCTAATTTTTGTTGGGGGAGTAAAGCTTAAATTGAAAATATGTCAATATTATTTCATGCGGCTTGAATCATTCCATCCAACTATGGTTTGTTATAATATTATATTCTTTTGGTACAAATAATAATAATTTCTCACCTCTTCCATTTTCCTTCTCTTAGTGGTCTCTCCATATTTTTTTTTGTATTTTTTTCTTTCCTACCAACGACTATGCAATTATAAAACAATTTTCAACCAAGTCTCTGCATCAATCAATTATGATTTGATATTCAGTACCTTTAATGGGAGGTAGTTCTTTAGGTACTTCATCAAGAAACACGTCAACAAATTCCTGTAAAAGAGATTGAAAAACACTGGACAAAGCCAAGTTGTTATTAGTTAGAAACCAAAAATCGTACAGAAGTACAAAGATGATATTTAGTAAAAACATTACCCTTCTCACCTCTCCCACTCTACCCAAACAACTCTATCCTTTTTTTTCTCTTTGATTTTTCTTTATTTTTTCACTCATTTCTTGTTTTTCTTTCGACTCTATTTTTTCAAGCTCTTTCTTTTTTCCTCCAACTTTAATTTGATAAGCGAGTGGTTTTTCTACCATCTTTTACAAAAGAATACCTATTCAAATAACCATCCTACATGACCCCTCCTATCAAGTTGCCAACGTTGGCCAAGTAATATGTCTCCAGCAAGTATTGATAACACATCACAAATAACTTAATTTTTACATTTTTCCAAAGTAAAAGATATTAAAGTTTGAGAAACTACCTTCATTGTTTCACTATTAATGAGCCATTGAATCTTGTGAGGTTTAGGATGACGTTGTTTTGGAATTTGCAACCTTTTGATCAACATGGTACTCACTACATTGGTGCAATTTCCACTATCAATGACAAGACTGCAAGGAGTCCCCTTGACTAAACACCGCGTGTGAAACAAGTTGTCTCTTTGATCATCAACATCATTATTTGTAGCTTGAGTTTTAAGAAGTCTCCTTGTAATAAGTGTCAAATGACTTCCATCTTCCCATTCCTCCTCATTCTTCTAGAATTCTTCAACTAACTAATTGATGTCCCCTCCATTTCCTTCGTCTTGGTTCATGACTGTACAAACAGTAGTTGTATATGCTTAGGACCTCACGCACTCAATGATTTTACACTCAAGAAGAAGATTGTTATCTCTGTCTGGGCCTAGAAAGTTGGATTATTCTTGATTTTATATGGGAAAATAGGCAAATTTGCATATGTAATCTATCTACAAAGATGAGACATTAATGAACCAAATCAAGTAGACAGTTACAAACAATACAAATACAAACAATAATGAGGAAAGGAAAACAATTCTTTTTTTTAATTATTAAAAATATAGGGCTATACGGACTCAAACCGTAGACCTTCTCGGTAAAACAGATCAAACTTATTATTATCAAAATGATTTGAACTGTTTCAAAGACCCAACATGCATTTTTTTGCATTGGGCTCTTTCATTAACTGCTATAAATAATAAGCAAGTTAGTCTACCATATTTTTTCTTGACAGAAAGAAAAAGAGATGGTTCCATGTGCTCTAATTCATTATTTTGATTCGAATCTAGGGTGATAACAAAAATATTAAATTTATTAATATATCATTAACGGATGGGATTAAAAGTGTTTTTGTGGTTAATATTTGTTTTCAAAAGTAGTTTTAGAATAACCAAATCATTAAAAAAAAACATTATATTTGAAAGAAAAAAAAATTAAAATATAGACAAAATGTTAGAGAGAAAAAGAAAATTAGAAAGAAACAAAAAGGAATTAAAAAAGGGATAAAATAAAGAAAGTTAGAGGGAAAAATAAATAGTATCAAATTTTCATTAGTATAAGTGATTTTTTTATATTATCCTATAGTTTTATTAAAAGTTTAATATATTGATTAAAAAAAAAATGTTTAGATTAAAGAAATATAATTATTAATTTGTGGTTGTAAATTTTATATTGTTTTGATTTTGGGCAAGTAATCGGACTAACACTCTCCTGCTCTGATTTCAACCTCCATTGATGAGCTTCTACCCATCTTCTCCATTTGTTGAGTAAGCTCCCCTGTTTTCCCTTGTTTTCTTGCATTGCCTTTCATTCATATCTATTCAGCTGACTTCTTTGTTCTTGATTTCTCTGCTTCCTAGTATGATTTACTGCGGTTTTCAATGATGATACTTCCAGATAGGGTTTCGATTTAATCTTTTTTTTTTTTTTCATTCGTTGCTTTTGATTTCAAATCACTCAAAATTTTTCTCTCCTCCTTTGTTGCTGCTTGTTTTTCTCGTCCATAGAACACTTCGTGCTTTATCTCAACATTGTTCTTCTGTCTTCTTGGATTCTATTTCATGGTATGCTTTCTTTTTTTTCCTTTTAATCGGTTGGGGTGGAGAACGAAGCACTCTTTATAAGGGTATGGAAACCTTTTTCTAATAGACGTGTTTTAAAAACTTTAAGAGGAAGCTCGAAAGAGAAAGTCTAAAGAGGACAATATTTGCTAGCGGTAGACTTGTGCCGTTCATGCTCTACCCCAAAGCTCACCCCATCAATTGTAGCTTGTAGGAAGGCTTTGCCCTGCCCAACTCCAAAATTTCCACGACCTTACCATCTTGGAGGTGCAATGTTATGTATTTTTGTGAGTTATGAATGTTGAAGCCATCGTACATGCACGTGGACTAATTCAATGGGACAACCATGTGAATCTACTACATTTGATTGTCAAGATAGCTCGTAGAATATTAAATCCTATTGTAACGGCCCAAGCCTACCGCTAGCCGATATTGTCTTCTTTGGGCTTTCCTTTCGAGCTTCCTCTCAAGGCTTTAAAAGCCATCTGCTAGAAAAAGATTTCTACACCCTTATAGAGGGTGTTTCATTCTCTTCCCCAACCAATGTAGGATATCACAATTTGCCCTCTTTTAGTGCCCAGTGTCCTCGCTGACACTCGTTCCTTTCTCCAATCGATGTGGGACCCCCACCAATTCCACCCCCCTTCGGGGCCTAGCGCCCTTACTGGCACATCACTCGGTGTCTGGCTCTGATACCATTTGTAACGGCCCAAGCCCACCACTAGTAGATATTGTCCTCTTTGGGCTTTCCCTTTCGGGCTTCCCCTCAAGGCTTTAAAACGCGTCTGCTAGGAAAAGGTTTCCACACACTTATAGAAGGTATTTAGTTCTCCACCCCAATCAAATCAATGTGGGATATCACACCTACATAGCTGACCACCATGCTTGAACTCATTCTTTTTAAGTTTTTTACTATTTACATGGGCTTTTATTGACCTCTTGACCTCTAGGCAAACCTATGGTGATTTTGTTTTGTTAAATTATCCCTACTAGCAAATTTGAAATTATCCCTCTTGACCTCCTCTTATTAATCTAAATTTATGCAGAACTGAACTTGAGTGAACACATGGAGGACAAGTGTGCAATCAAGACTGATTCCACTGAAGTAATATTTATTTCCATTGCTTCTTATGCTTTAAACTTCATCTTCAACTCCTATTTCTACTTGATTTACTCCCGCTAGATTATCGTTCTTGTTTTCGTCTTGATGGATGGTTTTTGGGCTGCAGCTAATAGGCAATACCCCCATGGTGTATCTCAACAAAATTGTAGATGGCTGCTTTGCCAAGATTGCTGCTAAACTAGAGTCAATGGAGCCTTGCTCGAGTGTCAAAGACCGGTAATAGATACTCCATTTATAACACGAATTCGTATTCTGTTTTCTTCTTATGTTAGCAACCCTTCTTTTGTTTCTTAATCTCTGTATTGCAGAATCGCCCTCAGTATGATACAAGACGCGGAGGATAAGGGCCTCATATCACCAGGGAAGGTAAAGAATGGTGTACCATGTGCAAATGTGGTTGCTCATTCAATTTTGAATCTTTCAGTCTGCAAAAAAATAGAGACTTCGTGGAAATTTATTTTTTATATGTGAGCTAATAAACTTAAAGATTGTTGAACAAGTTACTAACTTATGGAGCAACGGTAGGAGAATTGTTAGTAGACTTAGTAGAATAAGTTACTAATTTATGGAGCAATTATAGGAGAATTGGTAGTAGTTTTCGAAGTGTGGACGTAAGTTTTGTGTTTTAATTAAGAAGGTTGTTAGTAGTTCTTAACTTGACGAGAAAGTTTAGAAAGCAAGTTAGTGCTTTCTCGACTATAAACACTCATGAGAAGAATGTTTTCTTCTTTTCACAACACAACAACAAAAGAGAACTAAAAAGCTAAGTGCTTAAGATTACTGTGTTCCAAAAGTTCTTTCCCCTCAAGTTTTTCCTTTGCCTCTTTTACTTGTTTCGACATATCTCAATCGTGGGTCACATCCAATATTATATGTGGGTGGGTGAAAAGAGTGTACTTATCGAGACTACAGCGGGAAACACCGGCATTGGACTGGCATGGATTGCAGCAATCAAGGGGTACAGACTCATTCTCATAATGCCAGCTTTCTTCAGCATGGAGAGAAGAATTCTGCTACTCAGTTTTGGAGCCGAGTTGCATATCACCAACCCAGAAATGAGTATTGATGCAGTTATAAAGATGGCTGAGGATCTTGAAAAATCCACACCCAATGGATATTTTCTGAGGCAGTTTGACAATCCTGCCAATGCAAAGGTACTTTTGTGATGGGATATAATCCATGTTTGCTCCTATATCAGTCTTTGATCAGGATATTTATTTTTTAAATTTCATTAGATTCACTACGAAACGACTGGGGTGGAGATATGGAAAGATTCAAATGGAAAAATCGACGCGCTCGTGGCTGGGATTGGGACAGGGGGGACACTAACTGGTGCAGGGAAGTTCCTTAAGGAGCAGAACTCAAAAATCAAGGTTGGTTTAAATAATTGTGACATCCCACATTGGTTGGGGAGGAGAAGGAAACACCTTTTATAAGAGTGTGGAAATCTTTCCTTAGTAGATGCATTTTAAAGCCTCGAGGGGAAGCCTGAGAGGGAAAGCCCAAAGAGGGCAATATCTGCTAGTGGTGAGCCTAGGCCATTATAGTTTAAGATGTCGTTTGAGATAGAAGAGTTTTTAATCAAAACGCGTTTTTCATAAATATTTTTGCTTTTGTAGTTATTTGTATGGAAAAAACTCAAAAAGTGTTTGAAATGTAGGTATATGGAATAGAACCAGTTGAAAGTGCAGTGTTGAGCGGAGGACAACCCGGTGAGTTTATTGCTACATGCCTTCCATATCCTTTTTCTTCACTCCTTTAAACTTGCAAAGAAAATTTCATGGAAAATAGATTCCGTATTGTATATACGATGTTGAGGTATCATCACTAGCCCGATAGGGTTAAGCCCAATAATTGTATGAGCTCATGTATATTTATTTTAGCAAAATGATTTAGATATTTTAGGATAAAAATATCTAGATATTTTAGGAATAGATTGCCTAGCCTCCCGTATGAATACCCATTCACCGTATCTAGGTTTTCATCCCAAAAATAGAAAGTACAGAGTGCCGCACTAGTTTCTAAGTGTCTTGTAATCTCTTCTCGATTGGTGTTAATAAAAAGTGGTAGTGTTTCCCACACAGAATTGTGTTCAACACAAGAAACTTCTCCAATACAATCGTTTTTACACCAATAAAAGCCTACAAAATAGTGAAGACATTCCTTTGTCTTGAAATATCCTTGCATTTTCTTCATTCCATAGAACCCATGAAGCCTCTGTTGAAGTGGAGCCACATAGTGTTCTTTACCTTCTTGAAAGGATGGTCATTTTGGATTAAAGACTGCCACTCAGTAACGTTGTTTAGGATAACCAATGCCAACTCCAGACGGCAAAGACAATCGAGGTTTTAAACTATGGTATTTCTGTTGAGGATTGTTGGGAGAGAAGTCCCACCGTGGCTAATTTAGGGAATGATCCTAAGTGTATAAGTAAGGAATACATCTTTGTAGGTATGAGGCCTTTTGGGAAGCCTAAAGTAAAGCCACGAGAGCTTGTACCCAAAGTGAACAATATCATACCATGGTGGAGATCCATGATTCCTAACAGTTTCCATGTAGTGACTTGGTTAGTGATATAACATGTTATAATAGTCGATCTCAAGTTCAAATTCATGTTGTGTTATTATCACAATCATGTAGTGACTTGATTGGCCTCGTCAAGTACTGACCGTTGACATGTTTTGGCACTGAAGGTCACCATCTCATACAAGGAATTGGTGCTGGTTTCATCCCGTCGATTCTCGACATCAAATTGATCGACGAGGTTATTCAGGTAAGTCTCAGAACAAACTTAGGAGACTGTTGCTACTCATTTTCATCCATTGGAGTTTAGATACATTTTGTAATCCGAATCTTCAAGTCTACTATTTATGTTTGTGTAAGATATCAAGTGAGGAAGCCATTAAAACTGCAAAGCTACTTGCTTCAAAAGAAGGCCTTTTGGTATTCTAATTTTTCTTGAAACTATTTTTACTTCAAAACTGCTCATTTCTGCCAAAAGTGACTTACATTATTCCCTTTATAGGTCGGCTTTTCGTCCGGTGCTGCTGCAGCTGCTGCAATCAAGATCGCAAAGCGACCCGAAAATGAAGGAAAACTGATTGTTGTAAGTCTATGTTACCATCTTCCTATTAACATTCATTCTCAGTTTGAAAGTTGAATCTTCGTAGGTATCCCTTCACTTTGAGATCACACACACTTTAAATATTTGTAACTCTATCTTTACTTGAATCGATCTTGAAATAGTCCGTTAATGTTTTCACTGGTAGGTGATCTTTCCGAGCTTCGGCGAGCGGTATCTATCGAGTTCACTCTTCGACTCAGCTAGGCAGGAGGCAGTAAACATGGCATACAGTTAAACACACAAAGAAATCAGGAAACTATTTATTATTTGCTGACTAGATTTCAAGGTAGAATAAGTTAAAGAACATAAGCTTCCTGTTTGCAGACGAGACAAAGTGGACAATGTTATGTACATTTTCATTGTTTGTTCATGCATAACACTGGAAAGAACAAAATGCTATTCGAGGTTATTGAGAGGCGTATGTCCAAAAGCCTACTATTTGATCGAGTGATCTTTACTTATTTACTTGGGAGAAGCCATAAAGAGGCATTTTTAAAACGCACATTAGGGAGAGGTTTCCACACTTTTATAAAGAATATTTCGTTCTCTTCTCCAATCAAAATAGGATCTCACATTATTATAGCACTCTGACTTCACTCTTCAACTTAGCTAGACAAGAGACAATAAACATGGCATACAATTAGAACAAATAAAGAAATGAGGATACTTATTAATTGCGAATATGTTTGCAAACATTTGAAGAAGAAGAAGAAGAAAAAAAAAAAAAAAAAAAAAAAAAAAAAAAAAAAAAAAAAAAAAAAAAAAAAAAAAAAAAAAAAAAAAAAAAAAAAAAAAAAAAAAGGGAATGAATATAAAATACTTAATAAACAAAAAAACTTTACGAAGTATTATCAAATTCTTTATCTAATATTGATCCACATGCTTTTGTTTAGACTCTAAGAAGTTTAGGACTAGTTTCTATCGCTACTTGAGCATTTGGAGTTCTTCAAAATTCAAATAGTTCTCTTATTTGAATCTTACATTTGGGGATGTATAGGTTCTCAACCTTTATGTTTTCTGTTCATTGACTTAAGTAGCTTGTATTGTTTACGCAAAGAATGATTGGTGACTTGGGTTGAGGCGCTATCTTATAAAGTTTTGACGAGATAGTTTGATGTTTTCTATTCTAAATATCATTCATGAAAGGTTAGCTGATGGACCCTCCCATAGGATCATAAAGTCACCTACGTTTGGGGGATGTGATCCCTCGTATGCTGTTATCACTGGGTTAACCTACGTGTTCCCATGCCCCCATCTCAGGTAAAGGTTTACAACATAGTGACCCTATTTAGGAAACCCTTACTATTTCCACTAGGTTGGGCACCTGTTACACTATCTTGATTTGGGCTGTGCCTAGTGTCACGGTCATGCTCGTCTAAAGCAGCCCATGGTCGCATGCCCATGACAAGTCAAACTATTTATGTCTTCCCATGTTCTAATGTTTTAGTATTTCTAGGAAATATGACGTTTCGAAAAAATCATGTCTAGGCTTGCTAGACATGAAAGGCTTCAAAATGTACTATAGGGGAATATGACTAGTTGTCAACCTCTCCCTACCAATAGTTATATACTGTGAGTCATTGTTGTTACTCTCTTGCTTGCATATATAACACCTCTTTCAAAATCTCTCTTTGCCCTCGTTTTCTAAAACTTTCTTCTTAAACCGAGGCCAGAGGCTCGAGCATACTTTGTTTGGCCGTAGGCGACGTAAGAACAAATTGACTTAGCTCACTTGTTGCTGGAAAGTGAGTGCCGCACAATCGCACGTCCGCTGCCATCAAAAGTGCGATTGTGACAAGTGGTATCAAAGCTTTGTTAGCTCCATGACATAGTAAAGACTGAAACCATGTCGATGACAAAGTCGACACCTAAATCGCAAGCCGACCGACTTATTTTAATAAAGGAGGAAATGTTGTTTCTTAAAGAAGTCCTTGACATCATCCGCTTCCTAGAAGCACAAGTGACGGAATTGAATGGAAAAGCTGTAGAAATCGACACAATAGGCAACCGCTTGGATGGGTTGCCAATCAAAGAACTAATATTTCGAGTGGCCTCGCTCGAAGAAAGAGTTGCTACTACGAGCAGCTTAAGATCTGCTAGTAGCCTTGATATCTCTATCGCACACAAGGAGGTACGTGACGAAGAGTTCGACGAGCTACAAAATACCATGATGAATTTGTTTAATGGATTAGCAGACGAATTCATAACAACGATCGATGTCATCCAAGAAAAGATGCCCGAGATGAACACCCGAATTGGGGTGACCATGAAAGTCGTGGAGAACGTCACGGCTGGGCAAACTCATACAGGATTCAACAAACTAAAGTTCCTAGACCCTAGACCCTTCAAAGGGAACCGGGACGCCAAAGAGTTGGGGATCTTCATCTTTGATGTCGAACAATACTTCAAAGCCACAACGGCCTATAGCGACGACATAAAAGTGACAGTAGCCTCAATGCATCTCATAGACGGTACAAAACTTTGGTGGCGTACAAAGGTGCAAGACATTGAGAATGGATTGCGCATCAACTCGTGGGAAGACCTCAAGAGAGAGTTGAGGGACCAATTCTTCCTCGAAAATGTAGAATATATAGCAAGGGAAAAACTAATAGCCCTAAAACAAACTGGAAGCATAAGAGATTATGTCAGACAGTTCTCAACCCTGATGCTAGATATCAGGGGCATGTGAAAGAAAGACAAGGTATTTCTCTTTATAAATGGGTTGCAACTGTGGGCCAAAACAAAAATACACGAGAAAAAGATTTAAGACCTAGCCACCGCAATCGCCAGCGCCGAGAGACTCCTAAACTTTGGAAACAAAGCGAGTTTCCAAAGAAGAACAACACAGGCCCCAAACACTAGGGGCAAAACATATAAGCCGCCAGGTCATCGAAATGTAGGTCCCAATAGGCTAAACGAAAGTAACGACAGACCAAGTGGGTGGACAGATAGACCTCCTCAGAATAACCAAGCGGGGACATCTCGAGGACCTTACCCTTAAAAGAACTACCCGACGACACCTTTACAATGCCTGTTGTGTAAAGGCCCCCACAAACTGTCCTACTGTCCTCACCGGGCCTCTCTCAGTGCACTCCAAGTGTCCATTCAAGAGAGCAATGACACAGGAGTCGAGACTACGCAAGACAAGAGGAAAGATTAAGATAACCCCCCGAATGGGTGTGCTTAAATTCTTGTCAGCCCTCCAATGGAAGGTCGACCCAAAGGAGATAATAGAGAAAGAGATTATGTTCATGACGCAACGATAAACTCCTGACCAAGCAAGATAACCTTGATAGACTCAAGTGCGACCCAAAACTTCATCGCCGACCAAGAAGCACAAAGATTGGGACTTACCATAGAAAAGGACCCCGAAAAAATGAAAGTTGTCAACTCCGAGGCCTTGCCTATCGTGGGAGTCTCCAAAAGAGTCCCCTTGAAATTAGGGGCCTGGTCAGGAGAGATGGACCTTGTCATGGTTCGCATGGATGACTTCGACGTGGTACTTGGGATGGGCTTTCTTCTAGAACACAAAGTTATCCCAATGCCACTGGTGAAATGCTGAGTGATTACCGACCATAACCCCACAGTAATACCTGCAAGCATCAAGAAACCAGGTAACCTTAGAATGATCTCGACCATACAATTTGAAAAGAGAACTCGGACGAGAGGGACCTACATTTATGGCTATACCCTTGATGGAAGAAGTGACCACTGAGGAAACTATTCCATGCGAAATCAAGGATGTACTAGACAGTTATGCTGACATAATGTCAGAGAGCGTACCACAAACATTACCACCTCGTCGAGGCATCGATCACGAAATTGAACTCCTCCCCGGGGTTAAACCCCCAGTAAAGAACGCATATCAGATGGCTCCCCCTGAGCTAGCCGAATTGAGGAAAAAACTAGATGAGTTGTTGGCGGCAGGATTCATCGGCCCTACAAAGGCACCTTACAGAGCCCCCGTACTGTTTTAGAAAAAGAAGGATGAGACGTTGCATCTGTGCATAGGTTATAGAGCCTTAAACAAGGTGATTGTACGCAACAAATACCCACTGCCGATAATATCTGACTTGTTTGACCAGCTTCACGGGGCCAAATACTTCACAAAGTTGGACTTATGATCAGGGTACTACCAAATACGTATCGCCGAAGGGGACGAGCCCAAGACGACGTGGTCTGACAAACACCCCAACTACGTTTTGCACGTTAATGAACCAGGTTTTCCACAAATACTTGGATTAGTTCGTCGTAGTATACCTCGACGACATAGTTGTATACAACACAACCCTAGAGAAACATAAGGTGCACCTGAAGCTAGTGTTTGACAAGCTGCGGTAGAATCAGTTGTATGTCAAGAAAGAAAAATGTGTCTTCGCACAAATATGTATCAACTTCCTTGGACATATCATCAGTTGTGAACATATCGGTATGGTTTGCAACAAGATAAAAGCTATCCAAGAGTGGAAAATTTCTACTTCCGTATCTGATGTACGATCCTTCCTAGGATTGGCAACTATTATAGGTGGTTCGTCAAAGGGTTTTCACGACAAGCCGCCCCATTAACAGAACTTCTGAAGAAAGACCACCCTTGGTCGTGGTCAAATGAATGTCAAATGGCCTTTGAAGATCTGAAGGCAACCATGACGATGGGTCCTGTCCTCGGATTAGTGGATATTTCTAAACCATTTGAAATAGAGACAAATGCTTCCGACTTTTCCTTAGGCAGTGTCCTTATTCTAGAAGACCACCCCATCGCTTATGAAAGTCGAAAGCTCAATGATGTTGAAAGGAGGTACACTGTCTCCGAAAAAGAAATGCTAGCTGTGGTCCATTGCCTACGAGTCTGAAGACAGTACCTATTGGGATCATAATTCGTAGTGAAGATGGATAACAGCGCCATTTGCCACTTCTTCGATCAATCGAAATTGACGACAAAACAAGCCCGGTGGCAAGAGTCGTTGACTGAATTCGACTTCAAATTTGAACACAAGGCAGGAAAGAGTAACCAATCAGCCAATGCGTTGGGTCGGAAGGGCGAACATGCAGCCCTGTGCATGTTAGCCCATATTCACTCAAGTAAGATCGATGGATCCATGCGCGACATCATAAAAGAACATTTACATAAAGACTCATCGGCCGAACTAGCCAAAGCTGGGAAGACACGACAATTTTGAGGGAGACCTTCTAATGACAAAGGGAAACAGATTATACGTTCCAGGAACAGGAAAACTGAGGAAGAAGCTCATTCAGGAATGCCATAATACTTTATGGGTCGGACACCCTGGATGGCAACGAACTTATGTCTTAATAAAAAAGGGGTATTTCTAGCCAAATATGCGGGACGACATAATGTAGTACACCAAGACGTGCCTCATCTGTCAACAGGACAAAATCAAGAAAGCCAAAGTCT